ACATCTGCGGGTGCGCAGATGAGGGGTTGAATGAGAGAGTAGAGGCTGGGGAGGGAGGAGAGAAGAGAAAAACGTCGTGGGGGGGCGGTGGAAGAAGTGAGAGGTCCAGCACAAATGCTGGGGGTGGGGGTGGATGTGAGGCAGAGGGCACCCATACGCCCCCAATGGCCCCCTGCCGAAGGAAGAGTGGGGAGGGGGGGAGGACTTGTACCTACAGACAGTCCGAGGAAACATCGAATTGGAAGATTGGAACGAGAAAGGAGGAGGAGAGGGGAGAATGCAAAGGAAGGGGGGACAGTGGAGGGGTTGTCATGGGGATGGAGGGTGGGGAGAGTGAGTGGCAGGAGTGTGGACACGGTAGAGAGGGCACCCCCACATCAAGAGGACGACAGGAGGGGATTCATAAAAAGGAAAAGGAGGGGTGTGAGCATGAGAGAAGAGATATCGCTAACGGCGAGGTAATAAGAACGAATGGGGAGGCGCGGCTTGCGTCCCCAATGGCCCGGCCCCGGGGAAATGCGAGGGGAGGAGTAATGGTTACACACACACCTAGGGAGGTAGGGTTGAATGGTGGTGCGAAGGGGGGAGAGAAGGAAGAAAGGAGATGGCTGGAGGATGAGAATGAAGGAGTAGTGAGAGTAGTGGTCAGAGAGAGAAGTCAGACAGCGCTATGGAGAAGAAGGAGGAGGGAAGTAAGGTGGGATTGCAGGTGGCCAGGAAAAGAAAAAAGGTTAATGAACAGCAGGATGAGGTCCCAAACGAAGGGGTGCCGCCCCCTCCCGATGAACAAGTAGAACAGGGAAAGAGAGGAGGTGGGAAAGAGAGAACCAGGAACGCAACAACTCGCAAAAGAACAATCAAGAATGCAAAACAGGAAGACTATCTGGGCCCGGTCACGAGATCGAGGAGCCGGGTGCAAAAGGCACCACTCCCATAAAAACAGCCACCCACTGATGGTTAGCCACCCTGACGAAGCTGGCTTTCGTCAAGTGCACTTGACATCATCAGGGTTAAAAAGGCAAATGCTGGGAAGGTTTATATACAGTCGTTCAACGCCTGCTTCCGGCTCCTGGAGCGTGTAACCGGCCCCAGCTGATCCTGCCGTACTTCAAGCGTGCTGCCTGCTTTGATGTCCGGCTCCTTTTTCTGAATTCGCGTCCTTTTGAGTGCTGTTACATTCATTATCAGGGTGTTAGGCAGATTCGATGGTAAGGCATCCTTGCTTCCCCTGCATACGGCTCCCCCGCTGCTATATGTGTGTCTATCTCTGAGGAGTGGGGGGGAATGTAAGTTGTTTCCTGGATCCGATGGTAAGGCATTCTTACTTCCCCTGCACACGGCTCCCCCACCGCTATACATGTGGCTGTCTCTGAGAGGTGGGGGGGAATGAAAGTTGTTTCCTGGATCCGATGGTAAGGCATTCCTACTTCCCCTGCACACGGCTCCCCCGCTGTTATACGTGTGTCTGTCTCTGGGAGGTGGGGGGGAATGTAAGTTGTTTCCTGGATCCGATGGTAAGGCATTCCTACTTATATATATTTCTGTCCCAGATCATCTCACTTAAGTTCGGGTAGTCCTCGATGTATGACCACAACTGAGCCCAAACTTTTTGTTGCTAAGCGAGACATTTGTTAAGTGAGTTTTGCCCCATTTTATGACCTTTCTTGCCACAGTTGTTAGGTGAATCACTGCAGTAATTAATTTAGTAACACTGTTGTCAAATTAATCTGGTTCCCCCACGGACTTTGCTTGACAGGAGGCCACAAAAGGGGGTCACGTGACCCCCCCCAAGACGCTACGACCATCAGAAATATGAGTCAGTTGCCAAGCATCTGAATTTTGAGCACGTGACCATGGGGATCGATGCTGCAACAGTCCTAAGTGTGGAAAACTGGTCATAAATCCTTTTTTGTAACATAGAACGGTCACTAAATGAATAGTTGCAAGCTGAGGACTGCCTGTATTCAAGAGGTGTGTTGGTCATTTTATAGTGAGCTTTCAGCTTGTTCAAGTCCAGGGTTTTTGCACAGACTTTGCCTCTGGGAGGTCCGTATGGATATTTATCAGAAACAACCTTTGTGCTTCAAAGAAACATTAATCAAAAGCGCTCCTCTGTTACTCAAAACAGCTATTTAAAGAAGGCCAATATTGAGGGGCTGGCACAAAGAAGGGGGGGAATCAACCTCTTCTCAAAAGCACCTGAGGGCAGGAGAAGAAACAACGGATGGAAACTCATCAAGGAGAGAACAAACCTGGGATTAAGGAGGAATTTTCTGATAATGGGAACAATTAATCAGTGGAAGAGCTTGCCTGTAGAAGTTGTGGCTACTCCATCACTGGAGGGTTTTTAAGAAATAGGGCTTCCTGCTTGAGCAGGAGGTTGGACTATACAGGGCTTTTCAACTCATGGTACACGTACCACTTGTGGTACTTTGCCACATGGCAGGTGGTACGCGACTGCTAGCCAAGTGTAGCAGGGGAGGGGAATGAGCCGAAGCGAGCCAAGCCTGAGGGAGAGGCAGCTGCAGCTGCAGGACTGTCTGTGCTAGGCAGAAGCCCCAGGAGCCAGGAGGGCTCCAACTGATTGGCGCTTCCAAAAGCAGCTCAGAGCTGGAGGTGAACTGAAGAAAAAGGGGGGAGGGAGGAGAGAAGAGGCTATAAAACAGTGGTTCTCAACCTGTGGGTCGGGACCCCATTTGGGGTCGATCGACCATTTCATGGGGGTCGCCAAGCAAGGCTGTCCACCATTTTTTTTCTCCGCCATTTTTTTTGTCTGCCATTTTTTTCCCCTTTTCCAGCAGGTGCCTTACCTCCCTTGGGCTGGGCCAGCTGGTGGTCGGCCTGCTCCGTCTCTGCCGCTTGCCAGCTACGCCTCGGCTGGTGCAGGGGGCGGAACCACGCATGCGTGGCACTCCCGGGCAGGGAAAGTCCTCGACTTACGACCGGTTGGGTAGTCCTCGACTTACGACCGGTTTAGTCCTCGACTTACGACCGGTTTAGTCCTCGACTTACGACCGGTTGGGGTCGCGGCATTAAAAAGGTTGAGAACCACTGCTATAAAAGAACGTAGTTTGGGCGGGGGAAGGGGAAAAAAGACAACAGGGAAAGGTTTAATCCCTTTAAACAAATGTAATTAGTTTTACCCCCTTTAAATGAATCTGTCTGTGGCTTTTAGAAAGTTTTCTTTGAAGGTAAACTGGCTTAATTTAAAACCAAAGCTTTTTGCAATTGCCGGAGCTTTTCAGTCTGGGATTGCAACATTGTGATATGTGACACGCCTGAAGCAGCTTAAAAAGAAAAAAAACGGAGTTTGTGTTTCTTTATTTTCTTGCTTTGCACTTGATTCCTGTGTCTTTAAGGGTACAGGGAAGGAATTGGGGGGGGATGCATTCTTACTACACTGTGGAAGAGCTCAGAAGGGCCAACAAGATAGCTCAGGAGTCTACAAACTTAGCAACTTTAAGACCTGTGGACTTCAACTCCCAGCATTCCTCAACCAGCCATGAGGGCTGAGGAATTCTGGGAGTTGAAGTCCACAAGTCTTAAAAGTGCCAAGTCTGAAGACCCCTGAACTAGCTTGTAGTGGTGCATATTAATAAACATGGATAAATTCATCATACATTTGTCAGTACAAAGGGACAGTGATTCAGCAAAGGAAGAGCCAAATAGCAGGACACAATGGGGAGGAAAAAGGGGGGGGAAGGTGAGGGGGAGAAGGGAAAAAGAACAGACTTCCTCTGTTGCAGTAGAAGGAAGCATTAACATTGAACTCAACTTTTTACTTTTCCATAATATTATAAACTAGCCATTTCTATAACAACAAATGAATCTAATCAGTAAAACCCAAAATCCCTCCTCCCCCCCTTTTTTTAGTCATCAAGCTTTTGATATCTTGCTAAGCACTGGTGGTACTCAAATATTGTCATGTCCTAAAAGTGGTACAATCTGTGAAAAGGTTAAAAAGCCCTGGACTAGATGATTCACCTCTGCTTTTTCTTCTCATAGACCTTGAAAGCTTCTCCCCCTTCTCCTCCTCCTCCTCCTCCTCCTCCTCCTTTTCCTTCTCCTTTTTGGAAAAAAACCAATAATGATGATGGTTGTCCCTACTTGACTTCTCTGATAAGGCTTCGACCTCCATGTTCTGTTTCCTTCCAGGAGAAGACCAACAGCCACAGAATGTCTTCAGTCTTCGTGGCTGCAGGAGACCGGCTTGGACGAACACCAACAAGCCACGGTGACCTTCTCCACCACCAAGCTGAGAACTTTTGTGGCCGAACGTGAAAGGAAAAGAGCCCTTCTCTCTTCAAAGTATGGTGTGATGGCTGTGTAGCCAACAAAGCCGCCTTCACACCATCTCTTTCTGGCTTTCCGTGGCTCCCCGCTAAGCAGCACATGGCCGAGCATTCAGAAGTGTGCAGGCTGAGACATTTATTACAATCGCGAAAGAGAAGAGGCCACAGCCACAACAGAGGGATGCATTTTATTTATTTTATAGTAAGGTTCCTCTCAGTTCCTCAACAAAGTGGAATAATTAACAGATTGGAGAAAGTGAAAGTCGGGTGATGCCTCAGGGATTATCTTAAACCTGAAAGATTGTCTCTTTCCAAAAGCGATTTAAAGATGGAGGCAACCCACAGAAGAAGGAGCTTATGAAATCTCTGGGTTATTTCATTTTATTTTTTTGCAAAAAAAAGAAAATATTTATGAAAAACCTGTTTTTAGAGGGGGAGGGGAAGAAGAATCTAGACAATATTTTCTATCTGTTGTTCCCCATCAGCTGAGCATGCAAATGTCCACGCACCTTACAACAGTTTTGCAAAATATATATAGAGAGAAGACTTAGATTTTAATTTCATTTTTCATTTAAATTTAATTAAAGGTAGTAAACTAAATTTAATTTAATCTTAATTATTTAAGTAACTAAAGAATGTATTTAATCAAAATGAAATTAATAAACTGAATTAATTAACTATAAACTGGTTTTATGAATTTCGTTTTATGAATCTTTTAGCTTTAATAATTATTAATTATCTGATGTCAGTGTTAAATAATTAATTGAAGAGTTTCCTTTCGTTGCCTTTATTTCTTTTCCCCCCTGTTGCATTCTACATTTACAGGTGCAGAGAAAGCTCCGTGTATTAGGAAGGAAAATTGCTCTGCCTTAGAAAACTTCAGCCTTTGGTAAAAATACATACCTACATACACACATCATAAAACTTTGCGATAAACAACAGAGTAAATTTCATTAACAGTTGGATGAGTTTCAGTGGCTTTACAGGTCTGGCTTTTGACATGAGAATGTCCTAGGGGGAAAATACGCAACGATACTCAGACAATAAATCATTGTCACCCTGAGAACACCCGTAATTTCAATCAAAATCACAATGCGTTATAACTTCCTGCAAAAATAACACTCCTCCTGAGGTATAAAGAGGTGGCTCGCGTCAGCCAGTCAAGCTGCATGCAGACCTTTGGACAAACTACCAGCTGTTTTTTTTTAAAGAATTACAGAATTCTTTAAAAAAAAAAAAATTGTAAGCCAGCGAAAATCTTTCATAGTCTTATCAAAGAGGGTGTGCAGGGTCTTCATTTCACCCCCACCCCCCACTGGTGCAATTTTGTTGCTGTCCAAAAAATTAGTTGGTTACTGCTTCTTTTGCAGTCAAGAATGAGTTGTCTGGCTGTTTATCACCATTGGAACCTAGTTTTGCAACCAAGATATCCAGTCTTATTGCTTCATCTGTTTTAAAGCAACCGATTTGCTGTGTTTTTTTTTAATCAAATAGCTGAACTATTTTTTCTTCCTTGTGTTGACTTTTTTTAAAAAAAGAAAAAGAAAGAAAAAGAAAAATAGCATAGTGGAAGAGAAAAAAATTAAATTGCCGGGTTGCCTTTTGATTTTCCAATTATTTAAGAAAACAGACCTACAGTATCTATTTATATGTGTGGCTATATGCCCCAGTAAATAAATACTCTAATCCAAATAAACTTTTGTTGCTGTGGTTCTTTGTAGCTTTTGCTAGTGCTGGTAACTCTGGAGTTGCTTTGTTCTTTTTAGTACAGAGAGTCCTCGACTTATGACCAAGATTGAGTCCCAAATCTCCATTGCTAAGCAAGACCATTGTTAAGTGAATTTTGCCCCAGCTTGTGAACTTTCTTTCCACCGTTATTAAGTGAATCACTGCAATTCTTTTTTTTTTAAACAAATTTTATTGGTTTTTTTATTCTTAGAACAAAGTGCTTAAGACACACCGTGCTGCTGGGGTAATCAAACATCCAGAAATAAAACCATATATGAATAATACAAATCAATACATTAAATATTCCCTCTCTATTTCCCTCAATTAACCTAATACATTTAAAATAATCCATTTTTAATTTAAATTTCTAAAAATCCTAAACCTGTTTTAGAGCTTTGTGAATTTACAATTAACATAATCAAATTTGACTTTAAAGAAACAAATTATCAATTCAGGTATCTCTTCCAAATATATTCTAGATCTCAATCTCTTAAATCCTTAATTTTATCACAAATCTCATTTATTTCTTCTTCCACTACACAATATATCTCCTAATTAAAGTAAAATATTAGTCTATCCTATACATATATAACCCATCAATCTCTTTAAGATAACAAAATAACATCAGATCTTAAATCAGTTCAACCCATTGGGCCAAATTCAAATTTCATCCAGTTAATTATCATACCTAATAACGTCCATATTATCAGACAAGAATATCATCTTACTAATTTAACATAATTAGTTAATAAATCAATCCAGATCTAAAACGCCTCTTCAGTTTTCTTCATTCCATTACATAATAGTTTTCATACAAGTAAACCTATTATTCCAAAGAATACATTCTTAATCTATTTAAAATATATATTCTAATAATCACCCATTTTTCTCTTACTTCTAACTCTAACTTTTAATCTTTAAATCAATCCATAATTCTACAGTGCCTTTGATCCATCACATATAATTTTGAATTTAACTTTTCAGTCTTATTCTGGCCTTCTTTTGTGCCAGGCAGGTTTCCATAACAAAGCTTCCCTTTCAGGCAATAAGTCTCTCTTTATTGCTTGTAGTATCATTTGAGACAGTAAGAAGCATCCCGTCCTCTGCATTGGGCGTCTATTTCTCTTATCCTTAAAGCTTCATTGCTTTAAAGGCTCAAAACTCAGTCTTTGATTTTTCTGATCCTCAAAGGTATAGATAAAATGCTTGTGAGGTAAAATAAATTCCTCTTTAATCTCAATTAAATCCTCTTCTAGTATGTTTTGGTCTATATAATGGTCAGATGTTGTCTGAAAGTCAGTTTGAAGGTTTGGAATATGGCTTCTGACTCTTAATTCTGTAGAGATCCCTTTCATTGTAGCACATATTTCTTCAGTAGCCTCGTAGATCTTTTCCAATATAAGTTTATAGTTCAATTGTGAATAAGGTTTCTCCATTTTAATAATAATTGAAAGCCTTTTTTTTCTTTTAGTGGAGGCTGTATTCAATAAAAGTAAAGCAGTATCCACCCCCACAGTTCCCACACCTGCATCCGCTTATCTTTTCTCTTCAAAAGTAGTTTGAAGGCCACGTCCATCTCATCTCCAAACAGTAACCAGCAGTTGCAGTATTAACATTTTGCCAGTAGATGTCCTCAATAAGTTAAAAAATCTTTTCCAGACAGCATTTTTCCCCTTTTTCTATCTTTTAGAGAAAAAGGTGGAAAAAGAAACATCTTACAGTATAATATGATAGTAGAGCTCTTAAAAAAAAGATTTTTTCTGTACCCCAAAGTAGATAAGAATAAAGTGTAGTCTTTTTTTTTATTTTAACCTTTTTGTTCAGCGCCTTCCCACACATACCAAAGCTGCTTTTTCAAGATGGGGAAATGATTCCAACAGAGCTTTTACAGGCAAAAAAAATAACAAAATAGGGTGAAGAGAGGAGGAGAAGGGTTCTTACCCAGATCATCCGCGGTGGGTCTATTCATGCTTAGATGTTGCTGTGACTTTCGGCTGGTGCAGCAGAGTAATTGGCCATCTTACTGGACGATCTTTTGCTCCATCGGCCCTCAGGAAATAGCTGGAGCCACGAGAGAAGCTGCCACCCTCCTGCAGTCTCCAGCAAGCCTCCTCCTCGATGGTCGCCCCTCCAGGGTGACTTTTGACCCACAAGGGGTCTACCGGCGAAGAAAAATCCAGCCGGTGTGGAGACAAGTCAACCGGAGTTGTCGCAAACCGGAACCGGAAGTCAAATCACTGCAATTCTTAAGTTACTCGTATGGCTAAGTGAATCTGGCTCCCCCCATTTGACTTTGCTTGTCACAAAAGGGGATCATATAACTCTGCAACACCGCAAAGTCATAAGTATGAGTCAGTGGCCAAGCGTCTGAATTTTGATCACATGACCTTGGGCATGCCCGAAAGGTCATAATGGTGAAAAATGGTCATAAGTCACTTTTTTCAGTGAAACTTTATTATTATTATTATTATTATTATTAAATTCAATTTATATCCCGCCCTTCTCCTTGCGGACTCAGGGCGGCCCCTGAGTCCCTAAATGACCATGTTTTGAAAATGCCCATAGCAAAGTCCATTCAGGTCTTCTGAAGCAGTTCTCATCTCGAATATGACTAAGCGCTAACTTCAAAGAGATCATTTACTTAAACAACTGCACAGACTCACTTGGCTTTGTTTACCTTAAAAAAAGCCCCAGCTTGTTGAGCAATGGATTTCAAAAGTTTACCTTAAATAAGCCCTAGCTTGTTGGATGGATTTCAAAAGTTGAACGCCCCAGGAGGCCAACACAGACCCAGGTTTTATTCTCATGGAATATATAACTTGGGTCAGTTAGCAGTCATGTACATGTCAGAGGTAGGGATGTGGGCTCCAGGTCAACAAGAATGACCTTTCAGGAAGGAAGGGAAGGAAGGGAGGGAGGGAGGAAGGAAGGAAGGAAAAGTGAGGGAGGAAGGAAGGAAGGAAGAAAGAAAAGAGTGAAGAAGGGAATGAAGACGAGAAGGGAAAGTCAGAAGAAGCGAAGGAAAGGTGAGTAAGAGAAGGAAGGAAGGAAGGAAGGAAGGAAGGAAGGAAAGAAGAGAAAGTGAGAAGAGATTAAAGTAGAGAAATAAAGAAAAAAAAGAAAAAAGAGAAAGAAAAAGAAAGAAAGAAAGAAGAGAGAGAGAGAAATATATATATATATAGGAAGAAAAGAGGAAGGGAGGAAGGAAAGAAGGAAAAATAAAGAAAGGCTTTGGTGATCACACAAAGGCATGAAGAACAGAAGATAAGAAATGGAGAAGTAGATGGGGGGGGTAGCTTGCAGGCAGAGTTTGAAAAGGCATTAATACTGCAGTTGTTAAAGAAACAGATAAGACCAGTCACAACAAAATGGGGACACCATAGATGAGGACAAAAGAGAGGCTGGATTCTGGTAAGAGAACAAAAAATGAAATGTCTCACTTCTGAAATTGAATATTTGCAACATGTTAAAGAGGACTTAAGGACGTGCAACTTGAAAATGCTGGGCAGTTGAGAATGCTGAAAGCTCCAAATAATTTTAAAAGCCTAATATTTTAAGGTGTGCAATTTGTCGGGGGCCTTTTATATTTATTCTGAAATAGACCACATTATTTTAGAGATTGAAAAATGCTTACATGTTCCAGGATTAGTTCCATAGTAGTTTCACTGATTAGTGATAGGGTAAGAAAAGTAACTTAAAAGAAGAAGGTTATTTCCCTACACAAGCCAACTGGAGCTCAGGTAGCTAGACACACCTCATGTTTCAGGAAAAGGATAGACAGAAAAAACCCATTTTCAACACATACAGAAAATGCATGAGTGAAATTTTTCCAGCAGATGAACTTAAAACATTCCCTCCTGATAACTTTTGGCTGCTCTTAACAGTACAGAGAGTGAAAGAAAACAACAACAACATCTTCACCCTGTTTGTTAGCCAGAGAAACAGAGTGAGGGTATTTTTCCTTTTGGTGGCTTATTTTCAGCAGAATTTCTAGTAGATTTTTA